GCCATTCCAGAACTCTTCTGCCCCAACGGCCATCAGTTCTTCTCGCTATGTGTCCCGCCTACTGCCACTTCAGCTGAGCAATTCTTTGAGCAATGTCAGTAACGTTAGTTCTCCTACGGATTTCCTGATTGTGAATTCGATCACGTAGAGAGATACCAAGCATTGCTCTCTCCATTGCCCGCTGGGTGACCTTGAGCCTTCTTATGAGACCCATAGTGAACGACCACGTTTCGCTTCCGTAATTCATCACTGGCAACACACACTGATTAAAGACCTTGGTCTTGAGACACTGTGGTAATTTGGACGCGAAGATTTTTTGTAGCTTCCCGAACGCTGCCCATCCGAGCTGAATCCGACGAGAGATCTCTTTCTCGAAGTTGGACTTGCCTAGTTGGACTGTCTGTCCTAGGTACACATAACGGTCGACAACTTCAAGAGTAGTATTCCCAATTTTAACTGGAGTGGGTACAACATGGACGTTTGACATGATTTTCGTCTTATCCATGTTCATCTTAAGACCCACTCTTTGAGATGCACTACTGAGATCTTCAAGCATATTGTTCAGGTCTTCAAAGGTCTCAGCCATTAGGACTACATCATCAGCAAAGCATAGGTGTGTAAGATACTCACCATTAATATTGATGCCATATCCTTTCCAATCCAGAAGCTTGAAAATATCCTCCAACGTAGCGGTGAATAGCTTTGGAGAGATAACGTCTCCCTGCCTTACGCCTCGCTGCAATTGAATAGGATTAGAGTTCTGGTTTTGTAATCGGACTGACATAGATGCATTCTTATACAGACACTTTAGTGCTTCGATGTACCTGTAGTCCACTTGGCACCTTTGGATAGACTGCATCACCGCCCATGTCTCGATCGAATCAAAGGCTTTCTCGTAGTCCACAAACGCCAAGCAGAGTGGCCGGTTATACTCTCCGGACTTCTGTATAACTTGCCGCAGCGTATGAATATGGTCCACGGTACTATAGCCTTTTCGGAATCCAGCTTGTTCGGGAGGTTGGAAGTGAGCCTGTGAGTAAGACGATTCGTAATGACTCTTGAGAACAACTTATTAAAGTGACTCAAAAGCGAGATCGGTCTATTAGATTTTCAAGGGTGCTTTATCACCCTTTTTGAAAAACAGGACGACCTCACTCCCACTCCATGCTTTCGGCGTTTTACCTTCGAGAATAATGAAATTGAAGAGCCTCTAGAGGACTTTGAGTATCGGCTTACCGCCCGCTCTCAAGAGCTCTGAGGTAATTCCGTCGTCACCCGTTACCTTGTTTTTTTTTTCAGTTGTTTAAGAGCCACACTAATCTCATACAGACTAATGTCCCGGATTTCTTCGGTAAAGTGTCGGGTAAGTTTGGGTCTAGGATCTCTTACCTTGTTTTCAGCAAGTATTTGGGTTGAGTAAAGCTGTCCATAGAAACTCTCAATCTCCTTTAAGATTTCCACTTTTGACGAGATGATGCTACCGTCGTCAGATTTCAGCCTTGTCAATCGTCTTTGCCCAATAGACAGATCTTTCGCGAACACTTTAGAGCCTTTGTTCCGCTCAATTGCCTCTTTAATACATTCCGTATTAAATCGGCGAAGATAGCTTCTCAAGGACTTTGATATCTGCCTACAAAATTAGGTTTAAGATTTATTGTATTTTATAAGTGTAATGGTTTGTGGAGAGAAATAAATCTTATTATTATTATTATTATTATATTATTTAGCAGCCGATAACGACTTGCATCTATTGAGTTTTGCAGCCTCATTTCGTGTCTCATTTGCATGAGTTGGAGTGTGTTATCAGAGAGTTTCTTTGTTCTGGGACGGTGGGTTTTGAAGAACTTGGACCCTACCATACAGACAGTATCCGCCACCATGCTGTTTAGATCGTCCACATCCAAATCGCTGTCAAGGACGCTAAAGCGGTTCTGAAGCTCGAGTTGAAAACTTTCGGGGTTTTGGATCTGTGCAGGTATTGGTCGGAGCGTAGATTTTATCAATGGAGATCTTTCCAGCTTGATATTGATATTCAATGTGCCACGTACCAGCTGATGATCGCTTCCCGTTTTAACGGCGTTGATCACAGAGACATCATTGAATATTTGCTTTTTTGTTGACATAATGAAATCAATTTCGTTTTTGACTTTACCGTCCGGACTCATCCAGGTCCATTTCCGATTTAGTGGCTTAATGAAGAAGGAGTTCATCATGTAGAGATTCTCTTTTCCCATGAAATCAGCTAGCATCTGGCCTCTAGAGTTCCGGCACCCAAATCCAAATTGCGCCATTCTCAACTCATCACCGCAACGTTTTCCTATCTTAGCGTTAAAGTCCCCCATCACAACCGTGTAGTGGATATTGTAACTATGCATGGCTTTTGACTTTCAACGAATATCGATTTGATATTCTGAGTATTAGGTATGCTACCCTGGTCGACACACATCCAATAGTAATGACGTTGTTAACAAGGGACTTGTGGACGATGAACCCGACACCGTCTAGGGACTGTTGATCACCCTCCTGGTAGTATAACAAGTTACCGGAATCAAGGATTATCGAGTCCTCCTCCTCCCTTCGGACTTCAGATATTTCAACAATGCCCCAGCGTAACTTACTGATACATTCTTCCAACTCCGTTAGCTTCGCGTCTGTCCTCAATGGTCGCATGTTATAGATTGCCAGGTCAAGTCGTTGTAGATGTTAGCCGGATCTTACCCGGGGATTCCGCCGGATCTTGCCCTATTGTTATAGTAGTCGCTACCGTAACTAGGGAAATTAGGGCTGCAGGGGACTAGGGGCCGATTTATTTTTTCCATAGGGGGAATTGCCATAATCGCCAGGCTTAGCAGGCGGGTTGGCGATCGCAGTGGGCCATAGTTCTTAGGAAACGTTGCTGCCCATCTCCTAATGGCTGTGTTCCCTTAGTCGCCTTTTACGACACCCACAGGATGAGAGGGGGTGGTGCTATTCTTGGTCGGCACACACACGTACACACCTATAGCAAAATAATATTTTTTACATTTTTGTCTGTCTGTTTGTTCCGGCTAAACTCTGAAACGGTTAGACAAATTTTGACAGGACTTTCACTGGCAAATAGCTTATGTAATAAGGGATTACTAAGGCTACTTTCCACGTGGACGAAATCACGGGTACAGCTAGTTCAATTCTATAAATTTTGCATGCACAATGCTGGTATAGTAAACATTGTCTTAAAATTGTTTTTTTCATTAACTTGGATGGCTTTAAAATACGGTGGAATTAATATGAACTCATTAATAAACATTTGAGGTAAAAATATTTAATAATCGTTGACATGAATCGATTATTAATCGATTACGAGTATTAGTATAATCGATTAATCGATGTTTATAATAATCGAATCGGCAACTAATGATTAGTTGAAAGTTCAAATGATAATGTCACATCACACTTAGTACACTTTGCTCTGTACGGATCATCATCAGCAGGAGCAATCCAATCCTTGAAAAATTCTTCACGCTCCCACTGCTGATGATATTTCTGTTTGATATGTTGTCCTTTTCTAGTTTTCTTTGGCGTAGAAGGGCCTTCTCCTATATTCCACTAATAAATATCACCTCGAAACGTTTAAAGAAGAAATATAAGCACGACCGCGATCCAAATTCAATTAACTTACTGCCAGATTTAATACAGACAGACTAAAGTCGAATTTATTTTGCTAACTCTCAGCATTGCTTATAAACAAAACAAAGCGTAAATATAAGTATCTCTTTCATTCTATGTCAACCATGTATCATGCTATCTTTGTCAATTCCATTAAATGAAAGATGAAACGGTAATTCCCCTCGCCATAAACAATCACACTCTACACAATTCTATCATCATCAAAGGGATGTGAAAGTGAAAAAATAATTCGTTATCGATATTTATGTTTTTATGTGTTGCTTTTAATATTGAATCAGCCTACTGATGAAAAAGCATTTTGTCACAATTTGCCGTTGTGGTTGCAAAGCTGAATTGCCGTAATACTTGATACGGTAGTTAAAAGTCTGCCGTATGCCGTAAAAACTGAAAAGAAAACCTGGATTACCGTATATTACGGCAACGTATCGGCCGTATCGATCGCAACACTGCTATGAACAATTCATTTTGATTGTCTTCAGAAGTTGCCAGAGTTACTGAATAAGGAGGCGGCTGGCCAGTGATGCCAACTTAGGGTAATTTACCCTAGATTTAGAGTAAAATTGATCTTACAGGGTAATTTTTAGGATATGAATGCTTCGAGGGTATTTTTAGGGTAATAGCTTGAAAGCTTTAACGTTTAATAGCATATTATTTAATCAACTGTCAAAGACATAAAAACTCTCAGTTTGGTGCTTCTGAACGCAACAATAATGTAGTAATTGATGAACGCATATCATTTTGTTTACCTGACTTTTTTTCCCATTGTGTCTGTTGTCTGTAGTTTAAATTTGGATGGAGTTTGTTGGAGTGTGTATTTTGTGGTATGTTTGTTGTACATGATTTGGATGGAGAGGGAGGGGGTATAGTCTTAAACCTTACCATGTATCACCAAGAGAGGGGGAGGGGGGTTAAATTGCTGAAAAAAAGAAGTCATGTGATTAATGAACGGCCCCAACGCATCTGTAGTTTTCTTTCTTTATTCAATAGTAAAGGGCTTTCTTTCTTTATTCAATAGTAAAAAATAAACTTAAATAAAGACTATCATTGCCTAAGACTTAAGACTATCATACAAGGTATTATGACGGTTAAATAATTTAAAACTTTTTCATAATTTTCACAAGAAAATAATGTTTATCGCCTATAAAAACGAGTTATGAGTCCGGAGGTCAACTAGCTCTCTAAAGGTGGGTGATTTTCATAGGAATTTATTTAGGGTATTTTTTCAAAAATATGCTTAATCTAGGGTAAACCGAGACAAAGTCTCGGGTAACACAAAAATATGATCTGGCAACACTGCGGCTGGCAACATTTGTACTTGTGGTGTGGTGTTTTCAGATTTCTGTGGTGTTTTTATCGTAGTCGTTTTGTCGCGCAAAATGTTTAATTTGTTCTAGTGCTGATGTTATTTAAAATTAAGATATGAGATAGTTTGTGTTATGTGCGCATCTGATTTTAATAGTTATTGGTTTTCCTAAAGAGATAATCGTGTGTTAACAATGGATATTGAAACAACAATCGACTTTGATACTGTAGTTGATTCTCTTGTGAATATGTTCGGAGATATTTTGAGCAGAGATGTTATTTTGACTATCGTAGAAGGCTGTGGCGGCGACTGTAAGTAAATAAATAAGTATAAAAGTGAGATTCTGACCTTTGAAATTTACTGATATTCATTTGAGTTAAAATGGTTATATAAATAAATAATGTCATAATTATATTTCGTTAAGTGTTCAGGTAATTTAATTCTATAAGTATTTAACCAATATAGAAGTTATTATCAGTTCAATTGATGGTGGTCTTTTTAAGTTACATTTGTGGTTTGCAATGTTGACTTATTATATACTTATATTAAACCATCTATCTACTCATAGTAAATCATCTATTAATCTTAACCCTTTTGAGGTTCAGTAGACCGGGTCCTAAGCCACTAAAAAACTGGCAAAGACCATTATCTATCAAAAGATAAAAAAACCATGTTTGTTTTTTTTTACTATTTGTTGTTATAATGGCTACAGGTATACATAATCTGTGAAAATTTCAAATTTCCAAATAAATGTATCCATCGCTTGCTTGGTGCTAGTCACTCGCTTTGCGTCCACAACATTGCGTGCTGCTCGTTATGATTTTGTGGTGTAAGGCCGACAGATAATTAGATACTGCTCGAAAACAAAATAAATATAAATTAATTAATGATTTTAAATTTCTGAAACATAAATTTCTCCTGGGTGTGTTCCCAGTGGCGTAACTACAGGGTGGCAAGCAAAATGCCACGGGCCCCCAGCTGAAAGCGACTCCCGGTTGAAGGAGACTCCTTACTCCTAAGATTTATTATTATGCAGTTAGTAAAAAAAATTATTATCCGATGAATTTGCCACGGGCCTCAAACGGTAAAGTTACACCACTGCTTGGTCCTTGCAAGAATTGGCAATTCTATGCATGAGATACAGCCAGACAGACATATGCATGGAATATTAGTTCTTTTTTACCTTTTCGGTACGGAACTCTAAAAAGCAATAACTTGAAATCAACAATTTTTACAAGTGCATTTCAATGTCTCTTGAAATGCTTATGATTTTTTATGTCTGGAAGTCTGTAGTTCTTCATCCACAGTGGTGTCATACCTTTATTTATAATTGTTACCCCTATGACCTTTTAGGAAAACCAATTTTATCCATCATTCAACACAACACCTGTGGTTATAGGCAAATTAGGCAATGGGCTAAGATATTTCTATTTTGGGGGCAGCATGACATAATGTAATGTGCAATTATTTGAACCCATCCAGAATTTTTAAACAAGATTGTTTTTTTTTTGGATTTTGGACATGAATCCATCTGCAGTATTGAAAAGTAGAGGTTTTATTATTCTGTCATTATTATTATATTTGATAAATTTTGCATTCACAATGCTATACTGAAAAATATTGGTAATATGAAATGTTTAAAAAATCCATTTTGTCCCTGGCACTCTTACATTACTTTGTGAAGAATATAGCACTAGTAAATTGGATGTCAGGTAGATAATATAATGGCAAAATGCAAATAGATGAGATTTTATTAGGATGCGATTATTAAATAAACATTAATAGAGGCTTCTTGTTGTGGAATTGTTATAATCTCCCAGCTAACCTCTAAACTAACTCTCCAAGTTAAGTTTTCTCTTTGGAGTGTGTAGATAAAATACAGTAATTTTGTTATGCTGGTTTTGACTTTCATTTCCATAGTTATTTTGTTTTGGCGTTTAGTCCTTCTTGAATTGTTTCAGAAGTTTCATACAGCAGTGATAGCCTTCACGAAGGCTATCACTGCTGTATTATCGAATATGTAGCGGTCAGATACTGTCTATTATGGGTAGCTCCAATTTGAAAATTATGTAAAGAACTAGTATTTCTATCTGTAACTCCAGCACACTTCCATAGACCCAACACGGTCGGTGTTCGCGGATAACATTAACGACGTTATCAATAACAGTACTGGTACCACTAGTGAAAGAAGTTCCCCGCCGCTTAATAGAACTTTTAGCTAAACCATATTATTTTGTAATATTGTTCCCTGACGGGATGCATGAGCACGGCGCCCACGGCAGCTCTGGAGGTAATGTTGAATATTACACCGCTACATATTTATATTAGACAGGAAGCGGCCAAGACAGCGTTGAGACTAAAAAATCATAAACTGGTAAGGTTCGATACCGCTAAACATCTCAATGGCTTACTGAAGGAATGGCTTAACACCCCGCTTGTAGAGGCGGTTTGCGACAGAATCGAATCCACCTTCATCTTTGACAAGAAATACAAGATACATCTTACGGACAGTGACGATCCAAAGTTAACACACAGGGCCCTCACTGTTTTCACGGACGGCTCCAAAACCTTAACAGGCACAGGGGCTGGTGTATTCTCTGAGGACCTTAACATACATCTGTTCCTGCCCCTCGCCCCATACAATACAGTCTTCCAGGCTGAATGTATGGCGATCACCCTGGCGGCGAGAGCGATAACTACAAGGAAGGTAACAGGATCAGAAATCCGGATCTTCTCGGACAGTAAATCAGTCCTACAGGCTCTCAAAGGAAGTTCTGTCCGATCGAGTCTTCTACAGGAGTGTCACCAGGTTCTAAACATGGTAGGGACACACAATATAATTACTATCCAATGGATAAAAGGACACAGTGGATCACGTGGAAATGATGCAGCTGACGAACTGGCACGCAGAGGATCAGATGCAACACCAATGGGCCCGGAACCGATCATTCCTATTCCGGTAAGCTGGTTAATTGGTAGGATACGTGAACACTCGAGTAAACTACATCAACAATACTGGCACACTTTGGAAACCTGCAGGCAGGCCAAACTTGCACTACCCCGAGTGAACGCTCACCTCTCCAAAGCCCTCCTACAGCTAAGTAAACCATATTTGCGCCTGGTAACGGGTGCTATTACTGGTCATGGCAACTTTAACAGGCACCTTTTCAATCTAGGTGTCACTGACAGCCCCTTGTGCAGAGGATGCATGGAGGCGGAAGAAACAGCCACTCACGTCTTGCTGGAATGCAACGGAGTGGCCAACTACCGGGCAAAGTACCTCGGCTCGCCGGGCAACCTCCAAGAGGCCATCGCAGATGTGAAGGCGCTCGGGGCGTTCCTGGCAGAGCTGGGCTGGCTGGAGTAGTATCCAGCCACACACCCTCCACACGCAAAATAGGCTCAATTTGGTCGTCGAGTTGCGGAGACGCCCGTTGTAAGAAGAAGAAGAAGAAGAAGAAGAAGAAGAAGAAGAAGTAATATTGTTCAAATATATTTGTAATATCGTAGAAAATTAATAAGTATGTAGGTATCTAATTTATAAATGTTCAGGTCATAGACTTTATTCTCGTTAAGACATAATCACTTACATGACAGCATCATATAAAAAATTAATATAAAAATTATGATCGGGGGGTAAGTGATCAATCTGACAGCTTTCAGCCTTAAACATGGTATAAAGGTGTTAAAATTGTACAAAATCCTCATGTTTCGCCATTTTCAAATAGCATGCAAATCATTATAATGGAATCTAATGCAGTCACAATTATTACAATAAAATTATTTAATTCTTATTATGTTGAAATTACATATCATGTTAAAAAAAAAGTCAATGTAATATTCTAATTCCTTTTGTTCAAAAATTCGCTAATACTATAAAAATTATTACAATTTAGCCAGGCATATAATTTTCTTTTAAACAATCCAGGCGTTAAAGACTTCAGTTCATGTGGAATTTTATTATATACTTTAACGCACATAGCCAAACAACTTCTCCCATACTTATCCGATTTTGTAATTACATTTAATATAAGTCTATCAGGGTCTCGACGTTGTCTAAATTTTTGTTTAAAGTTTGATTTTATTAATATTAAGTTTAAAATTATATTTAATATGTTTTGATTTATTGAATTAAACAAAAACTGATTTCCTTAAATTTATTGTCAAATTGTTGATTTCTAGCCATTCTATTACCTTGTCAACAGTATTATTTATGTCAAATTCATGATTCAGTATCGAATTATTATTTACTTTATTTGATGTCACTATTATTGAAATATCAATTTATTTAATTATTGAAATTAAATAAATCATTTGTAATTTTCATTTATATGGTCCCATAGTTTGACCTTAAAACTGTTAAATGAGCTTACATCCTTTATATTTGAAGGTTGTTGTAAAGTTGTGTTCTTCAAATGTTATACTTTTTATGTTTATTATATTAACTAGCTGACCCGACAGACTTCGTCCTGTCAAAAAGATTTGTAATGTGGCAGTTTTTTTGCCTACGTATTTAAAAAAATTCTGATGCATTTTATCTCGCGTGCCGAAACTAATACAAAAGAAACGCGAGTTTCGGAACGCGACATTAAACTCCTCCAACTATGTATTCTGTGCTCCAACGCACACACGCACATTGTTTTGATAGATATGATCTTTGACGTTAGGAACACACCTACATTGCTTAGACAACAGTGAGTGCTTGTAATTTAATATGAACTTTATACCATAGCAATAAAGCTCAAATTGACTACGTTTTAGTTACAAATCATTTGTATGGGAAAAAGAAAAGGGCTATTTTTAGGGTTTTTCCAGCAATAATTCTAATTTTTCTCGCCGTAAAAACCATCCTTGAACTTCAACGAACATTTTAAAAAAAGATTTGGCCAAATTGGTCGAGGCGTTGTTGAGTTATGCACTTACCAACACATTTTGCGATTCATTTTTATATTATAGATGTTATTATAAAATATATTCAGCTGAAGGAAAAAATAAATGATTATTAAAAAAGTGTTTCTATCAATCCCTTAACCATTACTGAATGCTATATACACACCATCTACATTAAGAAAAATCGTAAAATCCGTAACGACACTTGAATATCGATCATTTCGAACCGAGCAACCATTTTAGTAAGAATGCTTAAGACGGTCATTTATTTTAATTCTTATAAATCTTTGTTTACATCAATTAGAGTGACCTGTATTACTCTTAATTTTTTCTATAAAATGCTAATTTACATGAATCAATGTCATGGGTAAACTAATGGAACAGGAATTGTATGAATTTGCAGTAGCATTCTGTTTGGTCA